ACACTGCTCAGCTCCGTTCAAAAGTGGAGGCAATACGGTTCACGACACAGTGAAGGGGAGAAAAAAAGGAGACGTACTTGTGCAAAAAATGACTGATTCAGATGTGTCATTAAAAGTTTAGTAAGCACCAACCATACACCTCATTTTGTAGGATTACCAAGCCTATTCAATTAACTAAGAGCGGGTCAGTTAAAGTCACGGCAAATTTTACGCTCAGACTTTCTGCTTTTATTAAAAAAACTCCCATTTATCTCACAATAAACCTCTAATTAGCAATTTTCAGGATGAGTTGAACCCGCATATATAATTAATAGTTCCTCTTGCACTGACCACATCTGCTTACGCAATCCTGATTCTGCACCAGAGATCTAGTTCCTGTCCTTTCTTGGCTCATAGGACAGCCTGTTCTTCAACCCTGTAATCATGATGAATGCTGGGTGGTTGTCATGGATTTTTGCAGGAGGTTCCCCTAAAACTCATTCAAGATGATTATCTTTTCATGCAGCCATGTAGAAATGTCAAAGTAATTTTAGACTATTTTGAAGAAAATCTCACATTCTTTTACAAATGTTGAAATATCTCTTATGTTGCAGCTTCAATTCAGAAAGTTAGTTTGATTTAGGCTCAGCTGTCTTTTATTGTCAAGGACAGCACATTTGTATATGGAATAAAGCAGCAGTTACTTTGCAATTCCATTAATTATTTGTTGCCAAGATGAATTTCTATGGGATTTCAAACATCACTGCATCCTGTAGGTCTATTAGGAAGCAAAGCAAGGGCACACTTGTTTTTCAAACAGACAAAAACACGGTCTATATCCCCGGTATGATTCATGAAGTTGTCCTTTTATTGTCTGGTTTTCTTTTCACTGTTGGACTTTCTCTCTTGTTACCCGTGGTATTTTCAAATTGAAGAGTACGTTTTGAGCCAGTGATCATGAGCCAGTACCTTTTTCAGACACTGAAGGTGTCCTCAGACTCATCCATGCATAGGTGACTGATCTCAGAGACAGACTACAATACTGCACCATCCATAAAGTTAAAAAAAACTCTCTGGCACTATGAAGACAGTGTGTGTATCAGTCACAGTTTTAGTTTCAGCTCATGTGCAGAGCAGCAGTGGAGCTAGAACAATCATTAGATGGGGTCATGTTGGACTAAATGTGCAGTGTAAAAGGGGGTTTAACACTATAACACCCAGTGTAGTCTGTTTGTGTAATGCCTGTTTTCACTTGCTTGTCACATTTTCCATCTTCCCTCCCACACACTGTACATACACACACACACAACTCCTTTTGCCAGATAAGCTGAGTTAGATACCACAGGAAATGATTTCCATTTCAAAACTGAATGCCCTCCTTGTGCTGTTACAGCAGGTACATCATAGTAAGACTTGTACTCCTTTTGAGCTCCTGGCTTTGCACTTACCTGACAGAGGATAAAACTTGGGAAAAGTTGAATCTTAAAAAAATAAAAGTTCATAAACTGTGACTAAGAAAAGAATGTCAGGCAGCTCCTGCGTGATGTGCGACATCACGATGTCCGCCGGGCCTTCAGCTGCTGCGGGTGACATGGGAGGATCAAGGTGCAGATGAGCAGGGATGCTGTGACAAACATATTGAGTCTGGATGTGAAGTGAAGGTGTGTGTGTTATTAAGTGAGCAGGCCGTGGGCAAAGCGGTGAAGACGTCACGCTCCTGCAAGTCTGTGTTCTGCTTGTTCAACAGCTGTTTGATAAACTGCTCATACAGTCTTATTACTGGCTGTTTGTTGCACTTTGGAGCGAACCTTCATGCCCTCTGCTCAGCTGTGAGTGTGTGTGAGAGACGCGCGCAGCATACAAGTAGCTGACTTGTGTAGTGTAAAGACAGAATATGAGACAAATTTCAGCTGAGGAGAAAGCATGCCAGTTGAAGTTGAAATGACTCAACATACTGAAAGAAAAACATCTCAATGAATTTATTTTATAAAAGTACTAGAGAAAATTATACAAAGAACTGGAATTTCTGTGGAAGACCGATCCTTTGTCGCCAGCTTGTTCATCTGATGTCTGCACATTCCTTGTTTTCGCTGTTTGTGGCAAATAAACATTACTACACAAACAGTCTAGTCTGAATAACCTGAAGTGAAATTCTGCAATGCATTCTGTCTTTACAGAAATAACAACTCTTACATATACACATTTCTTTGTCTAATGTGACAAAAGGGCAAAAATAATAACCAATTATAATTTCCCTGATAGAAAATGGCTAACATGCACACAGTGTCAGACAAAATACCAAAGTGAAAGGAAATTTATTCTGCATATCAGGCTTGTCAAATCTCCCCACAGGTTTCCTTAACTTATTTACCATTTACCATACAGTATGTATTTCCAATTTGTGGACAAGTGTTTTAGTTCATTTGAGCAGATTTTAATATCAGTAACTTAATTGCCTGTTTTTTCCTTGAGAAAGGACACAGTTAAAAACCTTTTCCTTGTGTAGTGCCATTTAAAGTGATGAGAGCTGCTTTGAAATGCTGATGAGATTATTTCATGAAAAAAGGAAACTACAGACCCTGCAGGGCAAGAAGTAGGCAGCATTAAAGTTCAGTAGATCCCATGGTATTTTACATAGTTTGTCACTAAAGCAGAGACATAATGTGTATTGATTTTCCCCATGTATGGACTTGATATACAGAGTCTAGAATGCACATTAGGATTTGAAAGGAATGAGGCACACAACTATAGAGAATCAGGGTGAAAGGTCAACAGAAGAAGGGGGAAGGGGAGAAAGAAAGGAGTGGAAAGTGATGGAAGGGTAGTGCAGATAGGAAAGCATCAAGTAGATGGATGTGGCATTTTCTGGTGAAGAAGGAGAAAAGTCCCCTCTGTCTGCATGAATAAAGAATGTGTGGAAACAAGGATTTCTGTCTACAGAATATGTCTGCGTAAGCATACATAGCTTTGTGCAATACAGACCCGGTTCTATTTTCAGGCACTATAAGCTTGAGAAGTCTTGGGCAGGAGATGAAGCATTCTGCAAGTTACACTCAGAAGCAAGGGAGCAGGTATACATCACAGCTGTGTAAATATGTAAAGACAGTTTCCTGAGGTTTTTTTTTTTTT